GTCTACGCGCCGCTTCGGCTAGCAAACTGAGGAACACGGCCGAGTGGTAAGAGAATATCCTTCATTATCTCATACTCTTCATTTCCAATTCCACTTCCTTCCAAAATCTGATTATTTTCAACAAATACAACAATCCCTGGATCAACATTCACTTATACATTTCACCAATTATTATGTTCAAGCTTAACCGTGACTAACCTTGTTTCTGTTGCAAATGTAAGGTGCAATGCGAGGAATACGCGATACAGACAACGCGTCTAGGAACACAAGGATAATTACTAGCCATTGCTCCATCTTAAATGATGGAACTGCCCCTGTCAACGACATTGTCTCCAACAAGCTTCCCTGCTCAACAACAAAATCACAACCACAATCGCTCAGAACTATATATAACTTGATAAGTAGTAGCTTGGATTTTCAAATACGATTCTATCCTCTCGTATACTAAGGTTAACTTCTAGGAGTAGTTTCTACATTTTATAAATATATGTGGAAACAAATAACTAATTACGATAGAACTGGAGAATTACCAGTCCCTTTTCCAACTCGGATATCGCAATTGGCAACCTGAGATCAGTGGCGACTCTAGGTAAAGCTCGTGCAAGACACCCAGCAATTGTCTCCTTGATCTCTGAGGAAAGCCCGTCTCCCAGGATAACCTTCCGGAGGTACTGAATCCCGTTAACTGATAAGAATTCCTCATAAGCAGATGCATCCTTCCCATATATGTATGCCAGAGAAGATGCTGATACCCAGCCAAACAGTGAATCCCACATCATACCGAAGCTTGATAGCTGAGGAAGGAGGAGGGACCAATGACGTTAGTTAGTTCCACGCAGTTCTAATGGGTGAGTTTGTATAAATGCTTACAAGAAACTTACGCTTAGACTGAAGCCCTCTGGAGGTCCATCAAACCAAGATTGATCACGGTCAAACAAATCAGTATCTGGAATCCCTGGCCTATTTGGCCACTTCAGAAGAGTTGGTTCATCTTCTTCACTCATTTCCTCCTCCGTATCCATCTCAGAAACCTCTTCACCGAGTTGATGTGTACTTGGCAACAAAACGATTCCAACTTTCGCAGCTATATAAAACATGACAGAATGCAAAATTTAGAAATTTATGTATGGACACCCAGAGCGTGTATTTAGCATATTTAACACCTCCGATTGTCTTACCGGCATCACTTGCATCTGACTCCCCTGAAGAAACAGCTTTGACAGCCTGGCTCAATGCCGTAGCACATGCTTCTGCTAATGCAAGGCGTGATACACTATCGACATCCTTTGTATCAGTAAAAGAAAGCTTATGACCTGCTTCCCAATCATTGTTTCTAAACTCACAAAGATCACTACAGCCATCTTTCTGATCCGCCCATGTAACTGAACGCCTAAGCTTCTTAGGGCCAGAATTTTTAAGGCACGATTTAGCGACGGTTTCACACGATGAACATACATCCTGAGCTTTAGGCCCCTTGCAAGAGTCAGCCGTAAGGATTTCGTCAGCATCCTCAGAAGAATTAGCATGGTATTCAATGCAAATAACTTTCTTTCCCAATTTTTCTGTTCTTTTACTGGAGTCCTTTGTCTTCGAACCAGAAGAGAATCCTATTAGAGCATTTCTTTTGTCCAAAGTCTCGAGACCTCCTTTTAGGTGGCAACTCAGAGGATCTTCCATTGAACACGGTGGCTGCTTAGAGACACTGTATTCTATGCTGTATCCATCACTCATAATAGCAGAAATCTCAGAACCCATCTCATCAAACCCAAAATTCTTAATGTCCTCCATTTCACGATCCTTACCAAACCCTGCATATGCAACATAGACTTCAATATCAGACAGCTAAACAGAGTCTCACACATGCACGGAAACGATCTAACAATCACATCTTAGACACCCAAGGAACAGAGAAATTCACTCATGATACCAGATGAAGCAGACGAGGATCCTGCTAGAGAACTTTCCTCATCCAAAGTCTTAAGATTACCTTTTAGTTGCCCATCATTCATAGTAACTGAGCTCGCACCATCAAATCCAGAATTCTTCCTGTCCCTTTCTTTTTCACGACGAAACCCTGCAAAAATCATCCAGATCAACGAAGAGCACGGACATCGGTATTCACTGCCTCATTCATAAGCAAAATTGGCTAAAATAACCATCACAAGATCTCAGACTCTCGGAGGAATATATACAGCTACATTATATCTTGGTCGTAAGGCCTACTACTTTTAACAACTCCTTAGTGCTTACTCGAAATTTTTTTGGGAGGAAGTGGAGTTTGTTCTCTCGGAATTGATTTCCCTTTGCCGTCCTCAGATTCCCTTGCAGGAGAAGCTTGTGTAGTTTGCGGTCGAACCTTTGAAACACTATACTCATCAGAAACAATAACTGTGCTAGTGAAATCCATCTCGCTAAAAGGCGGATTCTCCTCCTTCTTCTTCTCTTGATTACTCTGAGTAACCATGGAATCTGCCAAAACCAAGCTAATATTATATATCACAAAAACATCGTTTATCAATCTTTTGGTCTCCATCGTTCATCACCGAAGCTTACCCAGTTTGCCATTTGTGGATTTGCAATTGCTTTTATCGATAGGAACATAACCTTCAACAGCATTGGAAGGACCCATCCACTGCTCTAGAGACAATTCTCCACCTCTCACTTCAAAGTTTTCACGAATCGTCAGCTTAGACAATCCTAAATCCTCACTCACATCAAAAGCATCTTTCACGTCTGAATCAGTAAACAAACCGAGAATCTCATTCAACTTCACAGTATCAAAATCCGAGGTACGTGCCTCTTGCAAACTCCCCGAGAACGCTCGGCTACTAATAAGACAATCCGCCGAGCAAAACTTTCTGGTCTCCTGTAAATCGTAGACTCTGTGCTCCTTGAGTGATATCCGATACTTTCCTCTTCTAGAAACCTCGGAAGGTAGTGATGTTCGACAGAGAGGGTAACCGCAGAGCTTAGCGATCGTTCGTTCCGTGACCACATCCTCGTAGTCTAATCTAGACATCAATTTCCGAGCCGCGATGAGCTGCTTCTGATCGGTGATTCCGTCGAGCATCGCGAGCTGAAGCTTGTGAACCGCATCGTTAACGGCGATTACTTGATCCTTTGACATCTTCGAAAGCTTGCAGTGAAATTCTTCAAACGGAATCAAAAGCTTGGAATCAATCGGCTGTTCTGATATCGAATTAGGGTTTTGACAACGTAATCGATTCTCCCGGAAAAAAGGATTGACGCTCAGAGTGGAAGAGAAGAAAGACCAAAACTGGTGAGTTAGCGAATCCGAAACACCTAAAATAGAAAAGGCGGTTACATTATTGGGCCGAGAAATTGCGCATTATTATGGGCCAAGAAATAATATATGGAATATCTAAAGTGAATCATATATTATTTCTTGGCCCATAAACAGAATGGTAAGAGAGACCTGTGAAGATTAGTCTAATCGAATAATATATGGAATAACAAAAACAGACCTTTACCGAATGAAAAATAATCAGACTGAAAAATATTCTCTATTGAACAAGATCTAGAGATATGAGAGAGGAGCAAAACCGAATGAGAGAGAAGAAGATGATTTCTTTTTACTAATGTATTATTCCAGATTAACTTCTAATTTATCATATATCTCAATATCTACCAGAAACAGAATTAATTTTAATTCAATGGATTAGAAAAACATAGAGAGAAATATCGAAGAAGAATTGATGCATTACGAAGAAGCTAAGTTCATGGATTAGAGGCATAGTGTTGGTACGAATGGTTTCTTCACATCTAAAAGATATCCAAAAAATATTAAAACATACATATTCTTTAATACTTAATTCACGGAAAAAAGTCATGGAAAATTTGAAGTATCTCGTATGATTTTTTCCTACGTGTGACAACAACTTCCTCTAGGAAGAACGCAACTGCCAATGGTGCTCCATCTTCTCGCCGACCTGTGCCAATCAATTCCAATTCTGAATCGTGTGTTTCCACAGCGATTCCAAAATCCATTTTATGAGAAGCGCAATTCGAGTGTGATTCCATTAATGTAAATTATTATCCTTGTCAAGGATAGGTACAAGAAGTCTTGGAACATAAAAGTGATATACATATGTTGAATTAAGAGGAATCACTTGTCGAACTAGTTGATCAGCTGCTGTGTTACGAGTCCTTGGAACCCATTGCACTTTGGAGCCGGGGGAAGAATCTCAGGTGTTGCATTTTAGAGATGCATTGCTAGCCAATATCTACTTGATGAAGATTGAATAATTTCCATATTTCCAATCTGAGTATCTATCATTCATCAGATCACTAACTCTTAGAACATCTGTTTCAACACCTTCGATTCGTCAAGGTGGATGTGTGTAGGAAGCCATGGTGTTTATTGAATTGAAGTAACGTCACTGTAAAACTCTTGCCGAGAGGCTGCTTGGTGACTGCAAGATGCGCCACACTTGTTTTGCTAAGAGAGCCAGAATGAATTGATACTATAAAATTAAACTTCTTTGGAATAAACAAACTGATACTGAAATTACCAGCAATTTGATAATAGTCTTTTAAATCAAAGTGGTGATCAAACTGATACTACAAAATTAAATTAAGCCAAAAAATCCGAGACAACAAATTGTACCATAATAACTGATGATGGAAATTATGAATACCATAACAAGTTAATCCAGAAACAACTCAAAACATGATCCAAGATAGAAACTCAAAACTCAAAACATGATCCAAGATAAGTAAAGGCTTTCAGGTAAAGAACAAACTCTAAGCAGTAGCACCCTTTCCCTTCTTCTTCTGGATCTTTTTCATGTAGAACTCTAGCTCTTTACCTTCCAATATGTATCTGTGCACAAAATTCACATGAAATAGAGCATGAGAACAAACATGTCTTAAGTAGATTTCAACAAATCAAAATATAGATCAAGGCATGAGATGAATACCCATCAGCACGTCCGCATTGGCCAGGCCTTGATGAGATACAGGCCAACAAACGACCGCTTGAAAATTGGTCCTCAATGTGTGAATCGAGGTTGCGACCTTCTTGACGCTCCTTGATCTTTCTTTGGACATGGTTGCTCTTCTTGGTCTCCTCAGCAGCAACTGGAGCTGCCTCTTCAGCTTCCTATAGAAAATAAAACAGTAGTATATATGCTTGCTTAGTTTCTTTGGTTAAATTGAAAATCAGCAGCATATATTATATAAGTGAATCACTGTCTAACAGAAATGATTAGTCTTACCTCTCCATCCTTCTTGGTGGCAGAAGCAGCAGCCTTCTTCTTACGGCCAACCTCAACACCATAGTGGCTGAGATACCACTGCTTGAAGGGAGCAGCATCCACCTGAACAATGGCACTCTTAACAAGAGTTTTAGTACGGACAAGTTCATTGTTGGATGCATTGTAGACAACATCAAGGACTCTGGTCTTGCGGGTAACTGCTTCACTTCCCCAAGAGTAGTTACCGGTATCGAGCCTCAACGCACGCCACTTGACATTACCTCCACGAACCCTGATTCTTCTGACAGTCTTGTTGCTAGACAACTTGGTGTTGGCAGGCTGCCTTCCCATTTCATACCTTCATAAACCCAAATACAAACTTAAGAAACCACAAGTATACCAACAAAAACTCAAAGCTATCATGAATTAGCATCGCCATTATTGAGATAAACTAAATAGTCCAAATTCAGTAAGCAAGCCACAATCAGACGAGGAATCAAATAAAATGATCTAAAGTAAACATTTCCACCAATACTAGTGCTCCTGAGATTAACATATGTCGACATCGGTTTATCTTTCTACATTGTTTCCAAACACAAACTATAACACAAGCATGACAGAAAATGAATCGAAAGAGATCTGAATACGAAATACAAAGCTTACTTTCGCTTCTTCCTCCATAGCTTCTGTTTGCCTCCAGTGGCACGCCTCTTGTGGATGGAGTCACGAGAAATACCTAACAAAAAATCACGGTTCCTTATCAGATTCTAGCATTGAAACATTCGATACCATAAACAGAAAAGAAGAACAAATCTTCATTCGAATGGAGAAATCAAGTAGAGAGAAGGTTCGTACCCATGGTTGCCTCTTAGGGTTTCTCCGTCAAAGTTTAGCTGCGCAGGATTTGAGAGTTGAAGACGACGAGCTAGTTAAAATGGTCGGCATAAAACCCTAGTTGCCGATACAATTTATATGGCMTCTGAATTTTTGGCCCATATATTTACTTGGGCCTCTCGTTTTTCAACACCCCCATTTTCTGATTTGTTTACAATATCTAATTATTGGACCTTTATTCAAAACTACAATTTAATAAAATGTAAAATTAAATCTATATGTAATGATGTTATTTTCGACTGCCAAATTAATCTAAACATTGATTTAAAGAAAAACAAAACTTTTAAAAACAAAAGATATTTTGTTTT